TTCTATATATATATAAAACCAAAATGTTTGTTATCCTGAGTTTGGAGTAAGCAATGAAAAGAACCCAGCGTTTTGAAGGCAAGGGTTTTATTCTGAAAGAGAAGGTTTTTGCAGCTTGAACTAGATAGGATGATACTACCAAACTTTCTCTTTGTTCTTTCAGAGAACTTGAAATCATAAGTGACCTCAAAGAAAAGCTTAGTCTGTCTTTTAGACTAGATTTGTGCTTGTAATATCTGATGAGGTTTCGATTTTGAGAGAGAGAGAGAGACGCTTTAATCGAATTAATTGGCATGAAAAGTGTGACTAAAAATAAGAGAATAATATATTCCTAAGAAAGTTAATGCATATCAACTTTAGCTCAAAAGTGCTTGAGAAGCAATAATTAATCAGCAAGTTCTTGAATAATTTAATAATTCAGTCTGTTTTAATTGGCAAGGAGGTTATAACCTTTGACGGCTTGCTGGATATAGAGATGCAAAAAGGCTAGGGCTCCACTGGCTGGGATTTTAAGTGTTGCTTTGCACACAGCTCCGTTTCTAGTGTCAGCAATGCAGGCTTTATCTTCTCTAATTTTTCAGGACAGTTAAAATCTTCAAGTGTATCTTGTAAAGGAAAAATACATTCTGTTCTAGTTAGTTCTGGCTTTGAAATTGTGTTTAGCCCCTCGTGAAAATGGAAGGAACTGTTCATATAAAACTTCCTTTTTTTGGAAAAGCAGTTCTGTAGGCTATAGTTACCTGCCATTACTCTGAGTTGGACTAAGACATTTTCTTTTGACTACCCTGGCAAATCTCTATTTTAATGGGGTTTTGCATTGTTTATCGAGTTACAAAATTTCAGAAAAAGAATAATTAGCCTTACAGTAGGCAATGTATTAAAGTGCAGTTCAAAAAGTAAACAGATGTACTTACGCAATTCCTTTTTTTCTTTCTTTTCTCCACTTTCAGGAGACTTATTTCACTTGGTTTGGTTCGAGAAATCTTATACTGATGTTTCAACAACAATAGTTCGTTCCTACAGATCAGATGGTTACGTCTCGGTTTTTCGCTTGAAATGAAAAATGATTTACTATCAGAGTTCTACAACTAAGGCTGGGTTTTAGGAGGAAAAAAAAAAGGGTTGTATATCTGCCTGGCCCATATCAAGGGCAAAAACACACTTAAGAGATTTTAAGGTATTCTTAGAGGAAGCCGTCAGAAAATTTCAGAACTACATTTATTTTTGGCTTTAGATTTGGGATTTGGTTAGAATTTTCTTTTAAAATTGAGATCTGGATCCGTATCTATTTTGAGACAGGATATGTTGTGTGAGATTGCATTTCCGATCCGTTCCAAGTCTTTTTCAGAGTATTTCAAAACTTGTAATTATTCCGTGCAATAAAAGACAGACAACGTGCACATTCTCCCAAATGTTCTTGTAAAGACTAAACCCTAAATGGTTTACTCTTTAAGGAATGGTTTTGATAACATTATACCAGTTTAGCAGCCTTTGCCAGTAGGGGTACTTGGGGAGTAAGAGTCCCATCTGACAGTAAAAAGAAAATTCAGGATTATAACTGCAAACTTTCAATTTATTCTTAGTTGAGCAGTTAAGTTTGAGGGAAACTTCGCTTATTTTAGAAATTAAAGATACTAGATTATAAAAATTGAGGTTGTTATAAATCTAAAAGGAAGGTAGATTTTTTTTTTCTGCCTCATGCACTATTTTTAGCCTAGCAATAACTTACTGTTTTCTCTACAGGAGGAAAAGAGCTGTGGATCAAGTTCTGAGATGCAGTGTTACTTTGTAGATTAAAAATCTGGTACATAAAATAGACTATATAGGTAGTATCTGTGTTGCCAGCTGCTTGTCTTTGTATTAGATCTGAAATGGAAATCCTGCTATTTTTGGAGGCGTTTTAACTCACCACTTGGTGTTAAACTGCTGAAATGTATGGAAATTGAAGTCTTTTTTCTCTCTGTTTTCAGATATCTGCTTATGAGGACTCAGTTGCTGCTCATCTTGCAAAAATTCTCAATTCTGATCAGCACTCTGTTGTCATATCATCTGCCAAGTGAGTTGATCTGTTTTACGTATGATGTGTAGGATAAATCCCCTGTGTAACATCATCACCATAATAACCTTCTGTCTAAGCCTGATTTTCTTATGGCTGGCCCAGCTGGCTTGGCTTAATATATCTTGATTTATATCTTTTAGAGTGGATGTTTTTGCAGCAAAATTTTTATATGGTACAACTGTAATGGATAGCTTAATACTAAACACATCAACATTTTAAAAGATCACATAATATTAAGTAATTTTAAATCACTCCAACATGCAGCTTAAATGTGAAACTTTGTGTTACTAAGGCAAATATTTGATCTACTTCACATTACATTTCTTCCGTTTTGTTTTATGCATATCCATATCTTTAAGAGGAAAAGCAACTTCACCAATGTGAAGCAGAACTTCAGTCTAGGTAGCTTTGTCATAGCTCTGACTATATCAATTCAGTCAATAGCGCTCTCAGACAATAGACTTTTTTCCCCCAAACTGGAATACTTAAAAATGAGAGATAATTACTTGGCAAATCATGGCCTTCATCTGAAATCAGAATTATTCTGTGTATACCTTCTCTGTGAAAAAAACATCTTACATTTAGCTAGACGCAAAAGAACAGTCATAGAAATCTTCAAAAATATATCTGAATGTCATTGCATCTCTCTTTTTTTTTCCTGCTAAAAGCATTTTTAAAGTATACATAGCACATGTTGAAAATTAAACTGCAGGATATTATTATAACTCCAGATTCTAAATTACATCTGTATCTTTTAAAATCTATTTCATTTCTGCCAAATAAATGTCAACCAAATGAACAGTACTAAGCAATTATCCACACCTCGTTAGTCAGTTTGCTGTCTGTCTGCAGTGTAGGCAGTAAGAACCTAATAAATAATATTACCTAATAAGAAAGTAACAAAAGAAAGTCTTTCTCTGATTCACACAATGAAAATTCATTGCAGCCGCTATCTTTTTTGTAGATATGTCTCAGGGTCAGCTGTGGCTCGAAAGCATGAGCTGTGCAGTGGGACGTATGTGCTTTCATCTAGGTGCTCAATTAAAGTCAGTAGATTTTCTCCATGGTTTCTAGGCTCCATCTTTGCATGGGAGTTCGCAAAACTATGTTTGAAGTTTTCGAAGTGAATGCAAGTTCACTAACTCCTCTGGTATGGAAGGTGTACAAGCAAGGGAACGGATAAAATTAGTCATTTTTATTTCAGTTCTTAGAAATAAGAGACTTGGATACAATGTGTGCAAAGGTTTAAATAAAAGGGAGGAAGAGTTTTTGTTTTAAAGCTTATCACTTGGATTTTGCAAGGCATGGGAAAGAGCATCATCTGCTTTGCAAGTATGATCAGAGTTCAGTTTCCAACAAGAATGTATAACAGTATGCATAGACATAAATTGCCGTAAGAATTTAATATTCAAAACATATCTATTTTATTTAATTTGATTTCTCCCCTCTTCTTTTTTATCGGAAGAATATTATGTGAAACTGTAAAGGACTTTGTTGCCAAAATAGGGAAGACTTACGAAAAACCAATGGAAAATGCAGAGGAAGCTGATGCCATGGCCATTAAAGTAAGATTATGACTATGTTCTGGTTTAAAGTTGTGGGTATTTAATTTTCAAATTGCTCCAGGATGCCCATTGGCTTTCGTTTCAACAGTGACTTTAAAAGTCTTCTCTTCTTATTGCATAGAACAGTCATTTCCAAACCACGTTTAAACTCTATAAACTCTGTTTACACTTTTTTCCTTCATAAAGGATAAAGTTCATGGTAACGTACATAGAGATAGAAGGAAATATTTTGCCTTAGGAGTTAAGCTTCTAGGGATCAAGTTAGCTACAGGAAAACAATGGGATAATGAAGAGAGAGTATGTTGGAGAATGAAGGTAAAAGAGACTACAATGTTAAAAATAATGGTTTAAGCTCTAAATTGTAGAGATCATGTTGCAAAAGCACTGGAAAATTAAAAAAAAAAATGAAGGACTTGGTATGAGGCACAAAATTTACATGATCTGAAAAGAAAAGAAGAAAAGAAAATCACTAACAATCCCAGAGTCAGGAAATGTACTTGCTAAATGGCAATTTGTGGTTTACGTTTCTATTTGGTGCACATTTTAGAAAAAGAATTTTTCTTTTTTACTGTTCCAAGGCCAGACAGTGTTGGTTTCCTTTCTCTTAAGCACAGAAAATCACCTCTTTTCCAGTCTGCAAAGAGAGAGCAACTGCTTAGGGCTGGGTAGAGGTGTTTGACAGTGTTTGGTTCTGGCTTGAGCCACTTAACTGTGTGACAACTCACTTGCTTAAATGTACAGCTGTGTTGCAAAAAAAAACCCACCCATGTGTCTCAGTCTAACAACTGGGCATGTCCCCATAGATTATCTCTCCAAATTGGGGTACTGAGCACTCATAATTTCTTATAACGCATGGTACGGGCAAATCTGTGGTGATTCTCCGTGCCGCAAGCTATTGGGAGAGGAGTGAGATTTAATCTGTACCCTAGTTATATGGCAGGCTGAGTTTAATGTGGTGTGTTATTTTAATCTGAGTATATGGTTGGGGGTTTTTTGTTATAATTCCTCTAATCTGGTTGAGTGTCAACAGGATATGTCTGCAAAAAAAACGTGCAGACCTACTTATAATCTGATACTCCAAAATGTTGAACCTAGGTTTGGATTTTACCTAATTTACAGTTACATAGACACTTAAAACGCCAACAATTTTAAATATAATCTGGTACTTAATTTCCTGAAAATGTTCACATGTTCATTGGGGTTTTTGTGTGTGTATTTTTTTCCACTTTGTCTAAGTGCTCTGAGTTAAATGAGAAGCTAGACCTATTGCTCCAGGCTCTTCACACAGAAGCCCAGGCTGCTCCCGTTCTCCCAGGCATCACTCCCCCCATTGTGGAAGAAGAAGCAGAGGAGTTTTCAAGTGAAGAATCCTTGTCTGAAAGTAAAGAGCAATTAGCGGAGTGTGTCTCAAAGTCTTCCACCCAGAAGCTCTTCAAACCAAGGGAACAGTTAATGCTGCGGGCAAACAGCTTGAAGAAGGCTGTGAGGCAGATCATTGAACAAGCAGAAAAAGGTGCACATCAGCAATGTTTTGATCCTTATGGATAGAATAATGATGCGCTTTTTTTTAAAAACTAGAATAAATTTTCAATATTAAAGTTTGATTTCTACATTCTTATGTAAATAAAATTACGTGCTTATTACAAGCTGCAAGGAAAAGGAAATGTTGGATGTTGATAACTGCATATATGAATATGTATGTAAGCACATGTGTGCACATATAAAAGCGCGCTTCTTTTGTAACTATTATTCTCCACAAAATGAAAATTTCTGGCAGCAAATCTTTATCAATGGGCACAGGATTGCTAGACTTTTTTTCACAGAATTGGCAATAAAATCTTTTGTTAATATTTTAAAACTTAAAGGTACAGAAAAAAAAAGAAGCTAATTTTCCATGTATGAAGTTTTTCTTTAAAAATCTTGAGACTTTGTGTCTTTTTTTTTTTTTTTTAATAAGCAGTTGTGGATGAGCAGAATGCTCATAGTGAAGAACAAGTGAACCAGTCTCCACTAGAATATAGCAAAGAATTGGACGAATCCAAAGAAGAGGAAAAAGAGGAAGATACAAAGGAACCTGAGTCCCCATCAAGTAAGTAAATTAGGAATAAAATAATTTAAAATTATGCAGCCTCCTTATAGTTGCATTATGGGGCATAATTTGCTCCCTAATTAAAAATACTAGCATCCTGTTTCACTAGTCACAAATTTTAATAGATTTGGATAAATAAATGTTAAGGGAAAAATGTGGGAGATGAGATGAACAGTCTTTTGGAATGTATGTACAAAGCTGAGAATGTATTTGTTGGGGAGATAAGTGCCTGTATTTAATCCCATGTTTACACACACCTTTCTACACGAACCTAAGCAAGGATTAGACCCTAGGTAATGGTGGTGGTAGTATTCTCAGTCATAGGCATTTTAGGGCGTCTTATAAGAATTTCTGTCAGTCATTTCTGTTGAAGGAGTTTCAATTGTGTGAAACAGACGCATTTATTCATTGTATTGACAACAAAGCCCTAATGTCTCAGCTGGGAACTTACCTTGAGACAGTTATTGGAACAGAGAGAATGAGTATTTAAGTCTTCTATATGAAGTGGAACAGTGTAAAGCAGGAAAGAATATAATAGAAACTGGAGCATGGAAGTCTCCTGAGAAGTGGCAGTACTAAGGTCATGCCCTCGATTTGTCTAATCCAGAACAGAAATTTGAACCAAAGTCTTCTATATCCTAGAGCTCCTTCCCATGAAAAATGTCTTGTGTTGTTATCCCAAATGCAGGTCATTAGTCCAGCTAGTTCCTTGCAGCTATTGGGTGCTGTGTAGCAAGCCATATAGCAAGCCGCTGCACCAAGCTACTTGTGCTTTCCAAGGTGCAAAGCCCCCTGCCTGCTCTGTCCTTGGTCGGATGGACTTTATCAGCTGCTGCTGTCTAAGTGCTCCTGCTTTGCTGTAGGAGCATCTTTCTGTCCTCACTGTGGGGCTCTGCAGGTTACTCTCCAAAACCAAGAAGACAGCATGGGTATCCCATGCCGAGTTTTAAAACGTGACAGAAAGAACCCAGTTGTATTATTTGTATCAATAATTGTACAAAGCAATCAGAATATTGAGTGCTCTGAGTTTAAAACAATTTGCTTACAAGGTAGCATATTCATAAAGCAATAGCCCATTTTGTCACTAAGCTTTCCCTTTGGCTATTCAGTGTTTGGTTACTGTATGTAAACTGATATTTAGAATAGTAATCTCCTGAAATAGCATAGTACTAATTCCCACACTCAAATGATAGGGTAAAATCTCTCCTTCCTATGTCCTTTATGAAATCTGCCCCTGAGTGGCTGCAGGGGAAGAAGGAAGGACAATTTGTCTATACGGGACCCTCACTTCCTCCCTTGCTTGCTTTTGGCACCAAGCCAGTCTGGCCAGAGGACATGTTTGGACGTTTTCCGTCACAAACTTCAATACTGTGCTTTGTGTTGACTGGTAGTTCATGTGCCAGGGTTGTTCAAGAGTCTCAAGTTTCGTAGTAATTTTGGGAAAGCTGCTTCTTACTATAGGTGGAAATGTCAGTCTTTGCCGTATTATCAATGTGGACAGTGATGCACTGCAGGTAAGGTCTCGAGATGATCTGCGAGTCATGGAGAAACAGTAGTAGCTGATGGACAGCAAAACCCACCCTTTAGGTATTTGGTGAGCAACTCCCTGTGGCAAAATGAGCAAAGTTGTTTGGGATTTGCATCTCCTTCTGTTACCTTAACCGACAGCAACACTCTTAGAAGGGGTTGTCCTCATGAGGCGCTGCTCTGTAGCTGGTGCCTGTGTCGGTTGCTCCTACTTTAGAAATACATTAGTCTCTTGGGACTTCTGTTGATTCGGAATCTTTCATTTCCTTTTCTCCAGGAATGGATGTCAGACTTTCTCCAGTGATTATCTCTTCATTGGCCCCTCTCCTTTTCCCTTGGTTATAGGAATCACTGCTTGTTCGTTGTCCAGTTTGAACAGTAGCTTATAGAGGATGCTGGCACTATGGATGACCCAATCCTACTGCTACAAATATATAATAAAATAAAAATATACATGTGTGTATATCCATATATAGAAATATATATAAACTCCTTGTTTCTTGGTGATTCAATGCCTGTGTTTTTTGGGGAGTTGTATTATTCTTCATACAGCTGATAGGTGTGAAATAGAGTGCATATTAATGCTGTCAGTGGAAGATAGGTGTTTAGGGACAAAGCATGAAACATGAATTCAATTATCTGCAATGAAACATCAGTTTTACTCATTAGGGCTCTGTTGTTTTTATCAGAGCATGAACAGCAGAAGTTTATTGCAGTTATCCCCATGAGTCTCATCTGTCAAATAAAGAGCAGCTGCTCTGTTGATTTTCCTATTTAATATAACTGCCTTGTTCCCACGTACAGAGGAAGCAGACTGTGTGAATAGCGTTGTGAATTTTTCAGTAGCATTATGAAAAATGAATGTTAATTTTGTTCTGAATATTATATTTTACCCTTCAAGCATCTTCCTGGTCATTTGATGAAGATAATATTTTTCCATATGTTAATTAACTGCATCTAAATATTTAATAACTCTTGTTAGATATCACTTGCAGTTTTTATTCCTTCTCATTTTTTAACATTATTACAGTGTTTTGTCATGCACAGATACAAATCATTGTGTTGTATTATTATCATGCAACACTATAGCATTTTGTGATAACTGCTTAGGCTGTTACACAGATGTTAAAGTCAGAAGGAGCTGTTAGTACACTTGGTCAGACCTTTCGTATAAAACAGTCCAGAAAATTTCACCCACTTATCCCTGCCCTGCATCTAATAATTTCTGTTTGAATTAATCAAGTCATCCAGAAAGGTGTATAATCTTATTCCTGGGATACAAGATGGTGAAGAATTTGCCATTTGATTGACTGTTCTGTGCTAGATTATAATCACTTAAAAAAAAAAGGGAATGCCCAAATACTGGCCCAAATTGATTTGAACACAATTTCTAAACCCTGGTTCTTGTTATTACCTTAGTCTCTAGATTTTCCCACTCTCCATTTTCTTTCCATTAGTGTCTTTGTACAGTACACCCACGTTACTCTCAGACTGAGTTATCATGATTGATGTGAACTGATCTGTCCCCCTCCTGCCATAAAAAGGGGTGTATTGTATCCTTCCCACCACATTCCTGGTGGTGTTCTTCTTCTGCTTCCTTTGTGCTAGTCCTCACCATTCTATTTTTGCTGAATTAGTTTTCAGGTTTTGAGAGGAATATATCAGATCACTTTGAAATCATTTTGGTTTTTTGTTCTGAGCTTCCTCAGATGATCAAGGTTGAAGTTGTCTTAATCTGGAGGAGTTTTAATGTCTGAGATAACTTGGAGCAGAGGTAGCCAAGAAATATCTGTCTGTGATCATCTGGTGTGCAAAAGCTTTCTACATGCACATGGAAAAGCTATAGCAAAGCATTCAGTAATACGCAAACTTTCTTCCCTGGGGCACCAATTTCTGGCTACATCTGGTGGGGCTAAATTTCACAAAGATTAACTTCCCCGGGCTAAAGCAGGCACTGGCATATTCTCTCTGTCTGCGTGAAACAATTTCTGCCAGGAAAGTAAATTACAGCACCCGAGGTCAGCCCTCTGAAAAGCCTATCCTTCTTCATCACCTCCAGAGGCAGCCGCAGGGATAACTAGTCTCACTGAGCTACCAGTTGCTCTTTGTGAACACCTTCTCGTTCCCCTTGATTTTCTTCCTCTTCTTTTTCCTGAGCCTTTGTCACCAACAATTACATCATCTACCAAACCTTGCTGTCTGTCCCAGGGTTTTATTGATCTGTCTTCTGGAGAATGTTAACAAATAAGTTATTTCAATTATTTTGGGAATTGCTGGGGGGCGGGGGTTGTGAAAAAGAAGAGTTGATGGGAAACTGATGTCCTCCATGATCTCTCTAACTACAGAAAGTAAGTATGTCTGAACATAGCTTTTTCCCTTCTCTTGTGGTTTTCAGTTATAGGTAAAGATGGCAGAGCTTTGTGTGATGTTTTCAGAAACCTGATGCAGGCAGGGGGCCTGTTTTAGCTGCTTGAAGTAAATGGTGTGGCTGTTGATCAGATGTTTCCATGGCCTATGGGTTAGAATCGCTATCTATATTAAAACTGATATAAATAATAACACAATATAATATAGGTATATTCATAAATAAATATAGATTGAATTTAAGTTTAAATTCATATTACTTCATAAACACTTCAGAAGCTTACTTCAGCATTAAATACTACTGCATTTTAAGATGGATATAATGGAGTATTTGCTAGTAGCTTGAAGCATAAGTGGGGAACTCATGTTGAATGCCACGCACACTTGTTCATTTTAATTTGCACTGGTCACTGGATCTGTTTCAGAGTTTTCTTCTGTATTTGAAAGAAAAACTGTGGTGTGAGGGGGAAGGACATTGTCACAGAATGGTAACAGATTAAATTAATGCTTTTGAAATATTTTCACAGCTGTACAACTACGTATTTGGTAATGTCATAGTAGGTGTATTTACTGCTCTTATTTTTGCTGCTTCTGCACAGTTAAAACTGCACCAAGATCTCCAGATCGACGTACAAGCCGAGGTATCCATTCTCAGACAGGCTCTTTCTCTGCTCCAGCTTTGGCTGCAAGCAAGGAAAACCTCCCAGTGCTTAACACTAGGATTATCTGCCCAGGTAATTACGATTTTGAAATCTGCTGTTCCTTACACTGCTTCAATATTGCCTTCTGTTCCCCTGCTTGCTGTCAAATAAAGTTTTTTACTTCATGCCCTGAATTTGTCTGAACCAACATACACGTTTGTATTGTATCATATAGTAGGAAATGCAAAACAATGTAGAAGACTCCTGATCATTTGGCACAACACCAGGTATAGCAGAAGTGCTGCATTTGATTCTGGAGGATGAAAAATGAAATTCAGGATCTTGGAATCATAGAATCACAGAGTGGTTTGGGTTGGAAGGGACCTCCTCTGCCATGGGCAGGGACACCTTCCACTAGATCAGGTTGCTCAAAGACCTGTCCAACCTGGCCTTGAACACCTCCAGGGAGGGGGCAGCCACAGCTTCTCTGGGCAACCTGTGCCAGTGTTTCACCATCCTCATCATAAAAAATTTCTTCCTTATGTCCAGTCTAAACCTATCCCTTTTAGTTTAAAACCATTGCCCCTTGTCCTGTCTCTGCAGGCCCTGGTGAAAAGCATCTCAGTCTTTCTTATAAGCCCCCGCTATATTTTGAAAATCCACAATAAGGTCTCCCTGGAGCCTTCTCTTCTCCAGGCTGAACAACCCAACTCTCTCAGCCTTTTTTCACAGGAGAGCTGTTCAAGCCCTCTGACCATTTTCATGGTCCTCTCCTGGACTCACTCTGACAGGTCCTTTCTTGTGCTGGGGACCCCAGAGCTCGGCACAGTCTCCAGGTGGGGTCTCATGGGAGTGGAGCAGAGCAAGAGAATCACCTCCCTCGACCTGCTGGCCACGTTTCTTTTGATGCTAGTCTGGTGTACAGTTGGCTTTGTGGGCTGCGAGTGCACGTTGCTGGCTCATGTCCAATTTTGATCCACCAGTGTCCCCAAGTCCATCTAACATTCATCCTAATCAATGGAGGCTATGAAGGGGCTGAGGGACAGAGCCGTTTAAAGTTCAACCCTCTGAATAAGAGGTGTCTGTAGATGCCTCTCTGGAAGCAGATAACTGAAACTCCACAAAGCTGCTGTGCAGAACAGAAAAAAAATCTGTTCTTATCCAATTGCAATTAATACTAGGGGGCACTAGGAAAACACTGTTTTAATTAACTTTATTAGTGTAGTGAAAACATAATGAAACTGAGCTTATATTTTTCTTTAGGTCAATGTAAGTGAAAGCTTTTAGAAAGTAATTCTCTTTGTTTACATGCATCACACAGTGTTTCATAGAGTGACATCAATATTAGTCAAGGTAGGCATGGTGAGGCTGTGATCTTTCCACAAATTAAATCAAGTTAAACTATGACTCTACCAGTTGTAAAAATGGTAAGGATATTCCTTAGGAATATTTCCAAAGGAAAGGACCAAAGGAAAATCATGGACAGTTTGGAGATGAAGATTAAACTAAATAAAAAGCTCTAGTAGTCTTTTTGGATATTAGGTCACCCATTTGGTTACTATGCCAGGCAGTGAGTGTTGGCCTGAAATCCTGAACTTTGTTTGTTTTTTTCTTTCTCAATGGTGATACCTGAAGAGTCAGCCGCCACACAGCAGCATAGCTGCCTTTCTGCTCAAGAGAGCCAGAGACCTGAAAACATAACCAATATAGGTAAAAATTGAGATAGAAACGCAGTCATTCCCTATAAGGATTTAATTAATTTTATCTCTCAGTATGTGGCTTGTATTATGACAATGTATGTTTCTCTGCTTATCAAATATGAATTGGTTTTTTGTTATTTTTTTCTGTTGTGTTTTTTTTTTTTTTTTTAATCAGGTTTGAGGGCGGGTCTAGCTGCTTCTATTGCAGGAAGTTCAATTATTAGCAAAATGTTGCTAGCAAACATTGATCCATTTGGTGCTACGCCGTTCATTGACCCGGATCCAGATTCCCTGTAAGAAATATTTTTTTCCAAATTTACTGGTTTTACTTTAGTTTATCTTTTCATAATATTTTTTTTTTTCATTGTAAAGTTCTTGTTTGGTATCATTTCGCAGTAGGCCTCACGATCTGAAAACAGGTTGGATTGTGCCATTTTAGTTATGAGTAGTCCAAAATTGTCTTGCAGCAGCAGAAATAATAGGAGACATTTTCTCACTTACCCCTTGCTCACTCATTCTGGGGGGAGGAGGACGGCAGTCCTTCAGAGCTAGGTTTTCCTGCCCAAACCTCTGGTCTGAACACAAGCTCAGCCACCAGCAAGATGTTGAAGCAGGTCTGGGCACTCCGTAGGGGCAGAAGAAGCGTGTTCCCCTAAGGAATGGAGCAGTGAGGTGGAAATTTTGTATCCTAAGCTGTCTCTGCTTCCCAGAACTGGGTGTAGCATTGGCAGAGACTTGTGGATGCTATCTGGGTTGTGGGCTGAGGCTCCCCTAAAATAAAGCAGTGCTGTGCCAGCAGCATCAGCCAAACATCTAGCACCAGCATGCCTAAACGCAGCCTGGGTGCTTGGCCCGGTGTGGTGCTGCTGTCTCAGAGCTGTGCCTGGGGCAGCTCTTTCCTCATATCCTACTGTTATTTTGGGTATGGTGGAGATAGTGCTGGGTGGGTGTTTAGTTCAGTTTCTTCTTTGTCCTGCAGGATGTAACTTGCAAAGGAGTGAGCAGCCAGTCTGTCTCTTCGGCTGCCGTTGAGTTTCCTCAGGGAGATTCAGAGGAAACATCTTTTGATGTCTCTTAGTTGATGTATCTGTTCTGAGACCAACCGCAATCTTGGTCAAAGCTCTGTGTGTCCAGGTACTGTACAAATGTATACCTAATTATCTCTTTTCTTCTAACAGGGAGGGATATTCAGAAAAATGTGTCATGAACAACTACTTTGGAATTGGGTTAGATGCAAAAATTTCACTAGAATTTAATAACAAGCGAGAAGAGCACCCTGAAAAGTGCAGGTAATATAATTGTCAGTAACAGAGCCAAGATGTTTCCATTATTTTTTTTTCCTTATCTCTTTATTTGAATTTCGTAACTTTTTCTCATCTTACAAATACAAGACAATAATATGTGTATTTCAATGTATGAGTCTTGTTTACCCGTTTTATATGTTTTCAGAAGTCGGACGAAAAACATGATGTGGTATGGAGTTCTTGGCACAAAAGAGCTACTGCAGAGAACTTACAAGAACTTAGAACAAAAAGTTCAACTTGAGGTAAATTTTATTTATGGGCAGAATGAGTATTTTGCTTCTGCAATGTGTAGTGAAGAATTTGGGCTTCCTTTTGAAACATTTTAGAGTTCTTGTGTCAACCCAAGCTGACCTCAAAGGCACGGTGTAAAAATGTGCTATGTAAGAGGTGGTTCCCCAGGCATTTTTTTTGAGTAAAATGTTGATACTTAAATATAACAAAATACCCAGTGTAATTTCTTGTAATTCCTTGAGATTTTTCTAAAAAATACTGTATGGGTAGGATACGCTTCTTAATGTTCACTGCATCAGAGGGCAGACTAGATTTTAAGGACAGTAACAAAAATGAACATACACTGAACAGAAAGAAAGAGAGAAGGAGTCTTAATCCTTCAGGTTTGTTTTAAACTATCTGAAAGCTTGATCACACGTATAGGAGAGCACACAGATGATCTTAGTCAAAAATTCCTGGCAGAAGAGGGAGAGTTTCTGAGCCCAGCCATACCAGGAGAGACTTTTTCTAATAGGTGTTTGGGACAGTCACACAAAAGCAGCAAGATATTATCACAGCAACAACAAATGCAATGTAAATTATCTAAATATGGTTATTTTTTGTCTAAGTTCTAACATCAAACCTGTCTTCTTCATGATACTGGGAACTTAAAGGACATATAAATGATTACTAAATGCAGAGAATGACTACGGGATGGTTACAGTTGTTTTCACCCAAAGAATATCTAGGCTGGATCTTGACAGAGAACATACATAATTTCTCTTTTTACTTCATGCTAAGAATTTCATATGGAAGTTCATGATATTTGTATGAAGATAACTTTTTAAGGTGAAATAATAATTTTAAGTTACTGGAACTCTTTCTCACTCCTGAGATTTAGGAGGATTTTGTCTGGTAGTGGCAAATTGCTGTTATCTAAGGACTGAGTAATTATCAAGGAATTATGCAGTAGTTAGCAAATATAATGACAGGAAGGAACGTTATATATGCTGCAGATAGAATTCTAATTTAAGGAACCTTTGAATTTGATTCAAATAAGATTCAATAAGGCATTTAAATCTGACCTTTCCATAATTATTTTTTGATATTTCTGGAAGTAAACCAGCAAGTAGAAATTTCATATTTAGTATTTCCTTGCACAATATTAGCCTTATGCTAAAACGTGTGATGAGGTGCACAGCATTTGAAAATTGAAAATATCAATTTCAGGATTTGGAGGCAAACCTCTATTGTAATACAAATGGCTGTGCAGCATCTATTAATATCACAGCGTATTTTGGGTACTGTCACATTTTGATTAAAATGTTAAGTTCTGTCTTGTGGCTGAGATTAAATCACAAAAAGAGTGCACTAAGCACATTCTGGAAACAATTTTGTATCTCTTTCTTCTCCGGATAAAATTACTACGGATTTTGTCCTTGTTTCCTGAGGATTTCTATTTCATTTGTATAATTTTAAGATTCTTCCGTGGGACGGGTAGCTTGCAGTAATCTAGCAATCTTCTTTAAAGGCAGCTTCACCCACAAAATCATGATCCGTAAAGTGACACCTGCATCCAGCATTTATGACCCTATATGACCAACTTGATCATTGGGCTCACCTCTGCAGTCAGTTGTGCTGCTGTAAGTCAAGAGTGATTTCCTAGATGTCTATAAATCTACTCTTGGCCATAAGTACGGTGAGATTGACCTACGTCATCCCATGATCATGTTGAATAGGACTTGGAGTTGCTTATAGGTTTTGGAGGACAGAGTGGTCCTCCTACCTGCAAAATCAACAACTCCTGGCCATGACCAGGGTAACAACTGTGGGGTCAGTCCTAGATTTACCTTCGCACTTTCAGAAGGAGAGTGAAGTTATTTTTACAGGAAACCGAGCATCCAATGCTAACAACACTTAACATTTAACTACATGTTTGTGGCTATGCCAGAAAATTGGATTTTTTTTATTTGCTTTTTTTCCCCTCGCTTAATGGATTTGCCTAAATAACAAGTGTATTGCAGTTTTGGAAATGCCAATATAGGATGGAAGAATAGTTACTGAATGGGTAAATGAAGCTTTTTGTAACGTCCTTGGTGATCTTACTGTGTGCACTAAGGGAGATAGCTTTTTTTAAATTGCAAATAGATTTTTAATCCTTGATAGGCAGAGCATGGTCTAAGTGCATGAGGAATTTCACAATAAGGGATGTGAAAATGTTTCTTTGAAGAGTCCTGGAACACCTCTGCTGTAGATAGTATATGCTGTAGTATCTACATGGTTTTCAGCTCTACAAAAATTGGTGCTAAGATTGGGGAGAAGAGGTTTGTATTAGAGCAGCTTCAGCACATGGAGGGAATAGTCTTGTGTTAAACCTATTAATAACTCTGTCCTCCCCTGCCAGCTCTGTTGAAGCTTCGTGTGTTAAAAATGGCTGATTACTTTTATCACTTTATTTATATACTGAATGAGCTTTTATCTGTTACAGTGTGATGGACAGTACATCCCGCTTCCAAGTCTGCAGGGCATAGCTGTGCTAAACATTCCCAGCTATGCTGGTGGGACTAATTTCTGGGGTGGAACCAAAGAAGATGATGTGAGTAACATTAAAGAGAAGTAACCTTCTGGGCAAAACCAGACATAAGTACCATGAACTGCTCTTCTCGTTTAGTTTTAACAGTAATAGTGTATGGTTTGGATAGCAGCTCTTATTCAGGGAGGCTGTTTCAGTTTAAACTGTATTGTCCTGTTGGTTTTTTTTATTGAAAATATATCCCATGATTTTTCACTGTCTATTGCCTTCTGTCATGTCCATTCCAGCAAAATGTTCATAATAAGGCTTAATGATTTTTTTTTAATGGCTCTATAAGTATTTTTAGAAACTAATTTTATAAACAGAGATGCAAATAGTTTTTGTCTGTTTTGTTTTACAAACTCCTGTGATTAAGGTTTTTCAAAACATAGATTCCTCTGCTGTATTCTAAGAGTAAGCAAGGTGAACAAGGATAATCCCTCATGGTTTGTACCTGAATTTTCCTCCTGTTCTTCAAAAGCTTTGGCCTAAGGAATGGTGATTCAGAAAGTAAGGACTGATAATTTAGTGGGGGCAGTAATCTTTTTTTTTAAAAATTATTTTCAATGAGCTTCTAAAATGTCTTTAAGATACCTTTTTTTCCCTTCTTCCTCACATCTCCTATGAAACATTACACTACACAGATACCTAAATGCTCACAACTTGGAGCAGTCTTACTGCAGCCATCAGCTCCACGCATAGTGCAACAATTGTAATTACTTGCGATTATCCTAATTCTGCATGTCCTAATTTAGTGTGTGTGGTCTGAATCAGCTAAAACTGTAGTTAGCTTGTGATTTTAATGTAGACAATCAGATAACTGTAATTAGCTTGTGATTTTAGTGTAGCAAATCCAGGATTTTTTTGCCAAAATGTTTTTGGTTTATTGTGAGTTATTATCATTTGCTTTAATATATATATATACACACACACACGTATATAAAAGTCACAAAAAATATCTAAAGATGTTTCAATGTCCTTTTCTTATTTTTGGTATATGTCAGAGGATGGCAATTGTGTTTATATTTGGCTGTGGATATCTAATGTTTTTATATACTCCCATGTTCATACGCATAACTTGAAAGCATCTCTAACATCTGCTCAGCTCCTTTATTTTTCTCCCTGGACTGCCTCACTGAGAGAGAAGATCTGTCCTAGCTGTCATACTGGTATACAGCAAATGTGTGTGTCTTGGAGCAGTTTTACTGATATTCTTAGTCTTCTGGTGGTGAGATGTGCCAACAAAATGACATGTTTGTTCTGGACAGAGTTAGGAGTGTAATTCACTGTTTTAATGCCGTCTTGAGTGACTGATCGTCAGAGGTGGTGGTTGTGCTCTGAAGTGCTGCTGGTTCTGCTTATCTGGACAAAACAAAGAAGTTTGCTTGACAGCTGTGACTGTTTCTGAAACATTATTGGTGCGCCAAGCAGGGCTGGAGCGTCTGGAGCGGTGCTTGTTTAGGCATGCTTTTTTTGGTGTCCAGAAGACAGGCTGGAAACATGACCTGCAACAGGAAAGGAGGGAATCGTTTCTTGAATATTGATCTGTAGAGACTCGGTTGCTTTGTTAAAAAAAAAAAAAAAAAAAAAAAAAAAGGTTGGTTTTCAGTACAGATATTTTTTACTGGTGGAGAGAGACACAGCAGACTGGGTTGTGGTTTGCCCATCCTTTTGCTAAAATGGAAGCACAAAATAAATGAAATTTTACAACTACTTTTTCTTAACCCAATGCAGAACTAACCCTGTAGATGTCACTTATACTTGTTATAGTTGGATCAAGGACTCTGTACTTTTTACCTGGGAATAACAGAATCGCCATCTTTGCTCTTTCCAAGATGTTCACATCCCCATGTGAAAACCAGGAAAATTTCTATGGAAGTTGGACAAATTCAGATGGAGAAACCTTTTGCTCCAAAACACTCTAGACCCAGTAAAATTGCACTTTTGTTCTTTGACATTTACCTGCTCAAGACCTATCTGTGTAATCCTGGGATGCTCTGAAGGGAAGTGCCACCTCGATGAGGCACTAAACTGTGCTGTGCAGCCCTTTCCCTGAGAAGCCCTGCTCTGCCTTCTGGCCAAAGACACTGCTCACTGCACCAGGGTGAAGGCTCCTGCTAGCTCGGTGGGCAGCAGGGACCAAAGTCCCTCACCCTGTTCCCCATCGTCTCCCTCTCTGAGCCATTGCTGCGGACACTATCTGGATTACAGAGTCCTCAATCTGCACCCTGTTATTCTTCACCTCCAGGAAAGCCTCTGTCAGGGGAGAAGACCAGACTAGTTGTGGCTTTTGAGCTCCTTTCAGGGATTTTCTCCTGTCTGCATCTCCTGGTGCAGCTTACTCTGCCTCAGGTACCAACTGAGGTAGTCTGAGTACTGCTCAGAGAAGCGATCTCTCTACCCGTTAAACTCTTACTGGAGTGATTTCTCCTGCTGATTTTTCTCCCTCACTGCTACTATTGCATATCAGGATGAAATGGTCAAGCTTCAAGTGACCTTATGTGATATCTCCGGCTAGACCCAGTTGAACTCTAGCCTAAGACTTGTCCTGTGGCATGGCTGAATTCCCCTGCAGGACACCAGGTGGTAATGGCACACACGAGACTTCCTGCGCTTTGTGTAAGCTCATGGAAAGTCGGTGTCTTGGCTGGGTATCAGGACATTTGTTCTGCACAGGAGAGGTTTTCATATTTACAGTGGATAATTGTATAGAGCGCAAACAAGATACTCTTCAGTATGAAAGCTGTGCTTAACAAAGCCGAGTGTGGACTTAGGTGTTGGTTTCCAGAGAATTCAGAATATAAGATAAGCACTTCTGAGAAAAAAAGACACCATTGCTCCTCTTAACTTCAAGAACCTCTTAGGTATTAAGTACATTAACCATGCAGAGATTTGAATTGGCCTTTCATCTTGCTTTGGAAAACATTTCTTAGTCTGCATGCTGAAACATGACATCTTTCCTATATAAGGATATGCCTCGTCATTCAGATATTTGAAATGCTATTAGCGTTGCTGTTTTAAGATAGTATTTGTATACTGTCCATGGTATCTCTCCTATGACTTGAAAGACAGCATAGTTACTCTACAGTAAATAAGTTAGAGCATTTAAATGTTGAAAATGAGTCAGTGCTTCACTGAACATGTAATTTAAGCCCTAGATTTACCATCAAAATTGAGTATTTTCTTTTCCTTTCAGATATTTGGGGCTCCATCGTTCGATGATAAAATCTTAGAAGTTGTTGCAGTATTTGGCAGCATGCAGATGGCAGTTTCAAGAGTCATCAAACTGCAGCATCACAGGATAGCTCAGGTTTGCATCTTACTTGAAAGCACACAACATGGTTGGCAGCAGTTTGGGATGCTGGCAAGTAGCAGTAATCTTGCTGACCACCACCCTATACATTAATAAAGCGCTGACACTGTTTTAATTTTAATGGCTAACAAATTGTCTTCAATGATGAATGAAGTATAAAAGTGCCTCATCCCTGAGACATTCCTGGAGTGAAGCCACAGCTCCTAGTAATCAACATATTTCAGGTGGCCTGTCAGTTTCATTAGTATTTATTGCTCTGTAAAATAACGTGTTTGTTCTTTTCCAGTGTCGGTCAGTAAAGATCACCATACTTGGTGATGAAGGGGTTCCAGTGCAAGTCGATGGAGAGGCATGGATCCAGCCCCCGGGAGTTATTAAGATCATACATAAAAACAGAGCTCAGATGCTAACACGAGACAGAGTATGTTGCAGAAAGTCTGTTAGGAGATACTGTTACTAACATTGGTTTCCGTAATAATTTGATTCAGTTATAACATGAACAAAATGGTGCTTCCAAAAATGTCCTATAACTATATAACTTATATAATTGCATACAATTATGTAATTTCTGTAATAAGCCAGATAGAGAACTGTTCTTTTGTACAAGTGACAAAGCTTTGTTAGCTTTTATCAGTTTTATTAGTGCTATTCCTGTATTCTTATTAATACATAGTAAGAATGGTCAAAATTTAAATTTTTTTATTTCTTTTTCTTTCTTTCTTTCTTTCTTGGTGTATTATACACAGTCACATAGTGGAAGTTTTAGCACAGTTGCATAAATAGCAAAGTTCTATAATGTCCGTTTTTCAGATGAACTTTCTGCAGATTTCTCTCCTGTCTCTCTCTGTCCTACTAATCCTCCCTCTCCCCCATGACCCAGTCTGAGACAGAAGAGACAAGGCAGAGCCTAGGCACAAAGCCACTGGAGTTCATGCTTGTCAAGGATTAATGTGTGAAAGACGTAAATGCCCCTCAGTTCTCTATCCACTAACTGCATGTTGTCATTTTATTGTTTATACAGCTTGTATTATTTATTTAAAATTTTAAAGTTGTTCATTAAATTAATTTTAACTACAATTCTATATAAATGAAAATTTATATAAAATATACAATTTAATTTTTTAATAAGTAAGAATACTCCAAGTGCTGTGAACTGAATTGTATAATTCATTTTCATTAGGCCTTTGAAAACACCCTGAAGTCTTGGGAAGACAAACAGAAGTTTGATTCCTGTAAACCTGTCATTCGATCTCCCTTGTACCCTCAGCAGGCTGTTGAGTTGGCTACAGAAGAAGAAGTTGCACAGATCCAACTGTGCTCACAAGCTGCAGAGGAACTTATTACCAGGTACAGCAAAATTAATAAGTTTGGATTGGCAACCTAGACACCAAAACTGAATTATTTGTGCAAATGCATACATAGACATAGAAGCGTATATATTCCATGTTTATTGATTAATGTTAAGTTGCCACTCTATCAGTTATTTTATTATTTTTTTAATTTTATTTTAGTTTATTTTTAAGGCTTAACTTGTTATGTATGCTTTTCTTATTTATTTCTGTAGTTTTATTTTCGTGTGTTAATGTATTCTTTTTTTCTTGTGAAAACTGACTTTCTGCAGGAGCAGTGAAAATGGAAAACTGGAAAGCTTCTTTGCAGAGAGGCTTTTGATTGAAACTTCTCATTTTATACAAAAGCAAAAATATATTTATTGAAAAAAAACCCTTAGAATGTATCCACCTGACCTTAACTTCTCCTGACCTTATTTTCCTTAAAGCCTTGTTACTCACAATTTCAAAAAGATGAGCACTTTTCAATAAATCTGAACATTTTCTTAAAGTATTGTACAAAAGTAAACAGTTAACACAGCATCATTCAAGGAGCCCAGATTGCCAGATAAAATTGTCATACCTTTTTGCATTCATCCACTCATTCCTTGTTATTGCAGCTTTCTGTTTAATTCCTGATGGTCGAAATCTTCATCTCTGTGGCCCTGGACGCTTCAGTAGTTTGTGTGGGTTGAGATGATAGTGAGCTAATGATATAAAGCTGATCCCACAGCCTTGCTTATTTTCAAGAACTACTTTCTTCCTGAGATGCAAGTATTTTAGTAAAGAAGACACTTCAATTTTCACAGAAATAAAAACCTAGGGTTTTTTTAAGGAAAACATCTTTTTAAAAAATCAAAACATTTTATAAAGCTGCTATTCGGTTCATCGTGATTACAAATTATCTTAAGAACCAAAATCAATTCTTGGAGTACGTATTGAGTTGCACTGGTAATATAAGAAAGAAATTGAAGAACTACAAATTCTTTTTATACTCTACTGGTGACTTAAGTAGACATAGAAAAAAAATTTAGGTTATAAATTACCAAAGTGAAGTTTAACCAAGACAACTTAACAACTTCACTGTTCTAGAGGTGGTCCTGAGGTTGTAATTATAGCTGGACCTCCCACAGTCTCAAATGACTGCAGCCAGTTTTAATGTCACATCTGAAGGATATACCTTATGAAATAGGTGTAATGGTTTTTAAGATAACTTTAAGTAAGTTATGTTAATGTGCTAGGGTTTTCCTCTATAGTTCATTTGAATTAATAACCCTGACTATTTTTGGTACAATTTTTGCATAGCACTTGTGTTCTAAGACAAATAAATGTGTCTCAGTATTTCATAGAAGAATAAATAATCTGTTTTATGGATATTATTTATGGATATGAGGTGCTGTATTGCTTAAAGAGATACTTGTATTTCAGCTTTTTTCATAAAGGACTCTATTTTATTAAAAGTGCTTTATGAATATAACTTTGTATATTTTCTCATCCCATAAAGTTGCGTACTCTTAAGAGTTATTCTTTAAAGGACGTAAGAAATATTTTTCTCTTCTTTTATATTTTTGTAGGATCTGTGAAGCCGCAAAAATACATGGCCTCTTGGAGCAGGAGCTTGCTCATGCTGTTAATGCATGTTCACATGCATTAAATAAAGCCAACCCAAGGTTTCCTGAGGTAAAGGAAGAACAGAGATCTATGTCTAAGTAAATAAGCTATAATATCTGCGTGCACTAGCTTGTGACACAGGAGCTGTATTGTACTCCCTGTCCCCATATTAAAGCAAGTTGCATGATAATGGTGAGACACAGGAACAGGCTGCCCAGAGAGGTGGTGGAAGCCCCATCCCTGGAAACATTCAAGGTCCGGTTGGACGGGGCTCTGAGCAACCTGATCCAACTAAAGATGTCCCTGCTCATTGCAGGGGAGTTGGACTAGATGACCTCTAAAGGTCCCTTCCAACCCAAACTATTCTGTGATTCTTGATGGTTTTGATAAACAAGACACACATACACATGCTCGAATTAAAATGAAATTCCATAGCAGATGAATGGATGCTGTATCTTCTCCCTTTTTTTTGCCACTTTTTCTAAGGTGAAAGGAAAGGGAAAGTTACTTCGTGTTCTGAAGGTGCTGCTCTGTAGAGCAGCAGGGAGTCTTAGCCCTTCACATGCATAGGGAAACACCCAGAGCTGACGGATTTGGTAGACATCATGCTCAATGATTCTGAAATTTATTAATAATACCAGGAATGGGAGTTAGGAGAAGTACGTTTTTACAGAAGTGAGTTAAAGAGGAGAGTCCCCTCCTGATATTAGATCATTACAGTATCTGAGAAGGCAGGAGATGCAGTTTCTCCCCAGCTGATATTCTCTTTTGTGAACGCTGGACATTAGAAAGGGACATTAATGGCACTTAAAATGCAGACCTTCTGCATGTTGTTGCAGTGGGGAGTGAGCAGATGACAGGGAGATAGGGAGTTTGGATTAGGGGCACGTTAAGAGTATGTCTGTTGCCTTTTGGAAGCGGTCAAGAATTTACTTCATCTGCAACAGTGGTCCACAGCCAGAGGTGCTCATCCTGAAGTGATGCAGCAGTGCTTTTTAAATCAAGTGAGGTGCTGTACTAATGTGGCTCTGAGCATGAATAAACCAAACTGGTGTCAGCAAACAGCAAAAACAATAGGCAAAGTAAGCTCACATCTGCTTGCAGACAACTGTGTAGCATGTCCCCAGACACAAAGTGGAGGCAGGACAGAACCCGAACAAATGCTGTCACTACCTAAAGGTCAATTCTTCTTCCTTCACAGAAATTTTCTCGCTTAATTGTTATTCAAGTGCTATGCAGAGGATGTGAAGGGGAGTGAAGGGAAATTAGTTTCCTGGTTTCTCTCTTCATGCTAGACAATCTGTGTGTTTTCAGGGATTGGACTCAAAAAAGATTAATTAAATAGCGGCTGTCTATATCAAACCTAAGTTTATATATGGTAAATATATTAGTTAACCTTTGCTTCTTGAAATATGGCTAGCAGCTTGCTTCTGCTATGGATAATGTGAACAATTCAAATCAACAGTTGTTGTTACATGAGGCCCACAACTTTTCTGCTGGCCTTTGTCATCCATAAAAATCATGGATTCATCTCACAGGTGGCTGATCTTCAGGATTGTATAAGGTCATATTAAATGAAGTTGGGGAAAAGACAGTAAATAGATACTCTACACTTTTGTTTTCTATTCTCAGTGTTGAAGAAGTTGTCAGTGTAGAGATAAACTGATGTATTTCTCCTAGGAGAAGATGCTTAAGATCTGTGCTGTACGCCCAAAGTACTTATTCTCAGTCTGACTTGCATCACTTCAAATCATTTTTATGCTTCTTATTCCCCAGAGCCTTACCAGAAACACTGCCATGGAGATAGCTGTCAATGTGAAGGCCCTGCATAATGAAACTGAATCTCTGCTAGTAGGAAGAGTTCCTTTGGTAAGGTCACAAAATACATGGTTTTATTCCCTCATTCAGATTATCTGTGGTACATTCTTTGCTGATTTTTTAAATCGATGCAGGATTCATGACATGCTACAAGAAGCTCTGTAAGGCCAATTGGAGGATATTACACTGCATTCGTGGTTTAGATCGGGATAAGCTGTGAATTCTTGTCCTAGGTTGGCATCTATCTTACCTCACTTCAGATATCTAAAAGGTCATTTCCTGGGATCTTGTTTTTAATAGTCAGTGGAGAGAAATAAGTATCTGGGTTGAGGTTGATTCACATTCAGCTGTCTTGGAGGCCTATCTTAGAGAAAAGTCGATCATCTCCTGGAGATTTAGCATTTAACAGAACTTCTGGAGTTCTGTTATGTGACCGTCTTCAGAGTTTGAAAAGAGTCTGGGGTGAGAGCTGTCAGACTCATACATTCGACTTCTACAGATCTAATCTGGGCAAGTAAATCTCACACTTGTTTTAATACCTGGCAGGAGTTATTTTGTAACCTTTAACTGGTAAGTATTCAGTAGACCTCTGATGTTACTTGCAGACTTTACGTCTTCTTTTTTGGCTAGTGTTTCTGTGCCTAAAATGATGAAGACTGCTAAGAATTGTTGTAGCTGGTTGTATAATTAGAAAATTTCTGTATGTGACATTGGGAAGAGAAGATGCCAGGTTTTCTATGCTGATCCAGTTTTACATTAAGATGATACTCAGTAGGAACAGTTACATTTTCTTTGGATTCAAAAGCAGATTTATTAGTAACTTACTGTGTATTTAGTGTTATAATTAAAAACGGAAATCAATAGGAATTGATTCATTTAGCTGAGTTAGGGTGGGAAACTTAGTGGTTCAGGTTCACATACCTTTTTACACAAGTGATAAATGGTATGAGTCTATTCTACAGTAACCAAAAGTTGCTATGGTCTAAAGGCTAATAACCATTTAAGTTCTAGAAATAGTCAAAGATTAGGTTCATATGATCTATTTTATGAGTTTTTACTCACTAGATATTTTTGTCCAAGAAAAGGGAGAAATATCTGCTGGTTTTTTCAAATTGCTATTACTAATCCCCTGTATTTCAAATTGAATGGGGAGTCAAAATAGAGAAATCTGTTTAAATTTTAAATTAGTTTAGAAAGAGGAATTAGAAGAAAAGGTTTAAGTTGGTGATGCCATTCTAGGACTAGTGTAATTTATCAAAGCGGTCTGGAAATAATGTTTTTATGGAAACCTTCCCATTGAAACATTCTTTTTTCTATAGCAAATTGTGATCTCATGGTGTTGTCAAACTGGGCCGTTGTTCAGGCTCCAAAGCTTAATTTGATTCATTTGTCCATTTCTGATTTTTACATGTTGTACTTAAGCCTTTTATTATGGTCTGTGCAAATGTCTTCATGAGTCTACCCCAAACCCGTTTTTTAATAAAAAGGCCATTTGGAAGTTACGGAGATAATCTCCCATTACACTCATTTGACATCATGTTTGTTTAGAACAGTATTTCACAGTCACAATAACAAGGGACCCTGGTTACCCTTATTGCCATGTATTTTATAAATGCTTAAGCTACATAAATGTTGGTGCCTCACTCTTTTAAAGCAGAGACAGATGAAATGTAAGGTGTTGACTGATGCATCAGCTGCTGCCATCATACACTGTACTCCAATTTATCTTTCTCCTCTGACAAAGACAGACATTCTTTCTTTAATATCTTCCTCTATTTATTTTTTTTTTTGCCTCTTCAATTCTCCCTCATCCCTCTTTTCTGTGATCGAAGCTCGTGATAGCAGTAAGTTGATGCCCTTGTTGCCTATACTACTTGGTAAAGCTTTTTCTTTGGTTGCCATTTACCAGCTCTTGAATCTTTCTTTTATGGCTCCCGAAGGACACAAAAGAAATGTAAATACATATACAAGGAGACTGTGATTCCTGCCACCTCCTGGCAGATAATGGTTAACAAAGTTTATACAACAGTATTAGCTAGATGGTCTCAAATTGTGAATTAGTTATAAATATCATTTTTAGTGAAGTGATAAGTTGAGACATATCATCAGATAAGCTGATTTGTGGAATCTCCCAGGTGGTTATGACTGGAATACAGTTTGGAAAAAAAAATACTATGTTTTGTATAGATATTTTCCAACAGCAGTATTTCCATTTTTGCTTTTTAAAAAGCATTTCGTCTTGAACAGAACACACTTTTCCAATGTATTAAGGGAGAAGTATGACAGAATGTTTCATTTCAACTGTATGAAATTATCTGAGCGCACTGAACTAAAATATTTTCATATTAAAGATTCCATTTGGAAAGGAATTGAAAACATCCTTTATTTTCATTGTTTCATTAATAGTGTTAGTTTCTATCTTGGAAATAAGAAGCTTTTCCAAGATGTTGTAGGAGGAGAATTTATCCTATATTGCTGACTCTTCCTTTACCAGAATTGCATTGTTGTTTGGGGTTTATTTCAGGAGCAATATTGCCAATGCATACATTTTCTCACCATCAGATAAGAGTTTTTTTGTCCCCAAGCAAAATGTTTTCCTTTGAGGATCAAGCAATTAGGTAAGTGCTTGTTGAGAAAGACAGAACTCTGCTTCATTCATTTATATAAAATAGATGACTTAATTTCTTAAAAATCAAAACTCAACAGAAGTTGTAACTTCTTCAGACACAAGTGGATCTTCCACTGTTCTCCAAATAGCTAAACTGTTCAAATTGAAAAGAAAAGGAAGGCAAAGGGAAGATCACAGTCTGCTTATGGGGGCTGAATTCTGTGGGCTTTAGAAGAGAAAATAACACAATAGCAAAAGGGAGCTTATATTTCCAGTATTACTACACTAAACAGCAATATCATACTAAAGATGGTCTCTCCTTTGAAAGGTGGTAACATATGCTATTGAAGCAAAGGAAAGAAGTTTTTGTTAGGTAGGGTAAATTAACGGGGGCTTGTAATTTATTATCAAAGCCCAACAACGTCAAAATCTTTTTCCAGTGCTAGATATCAAAGATTCTCTTACAAATCCATTTTAAAAGTGCATTCACTGGGACATAACTTAATTAGATCCTTTCAAAAGGATATTCTGCACTGCTTTGGGACTCCTTCTACTTCAAAGAGAGAAACAGATGTTCAGATTGGTTTATTAGCAATTCCAAGCAACTCGTTCCAGGATTCAACTCTTTACCTCAAAGTGGTGTTCCAACAACCCCAGATAAGCTCAAAACAGCTTTGCCAGGGATCACCTGCCTGCCTTACCTCTTCCTCACGGGTTTGACTCACACAACAGCTGCAGAATAGTTTTCAGACCAGGCTTTTAAGGAAAACTGGTACTTCCGTGGGGTTCCCAAAATGTTGATAGATCCAAGTTCTTGTAGGTCAGCAAGTCCCAAGCTTTTTACACTGCTACCACTTTCTTTTCCTCTTTGGCCTTCACTGATGTCTTCGTCTTTTTGTTTCCCATCTGGGGCTGCAGTGGTTCCCCCCCTTCCATCCCCGTTCTCCCCACCCTCAGCCAGCAGCAGTGGCTGTCGCTCCAACCCTCACCTCTTTAGAAGGGGTAGTGCAGGTATTGTATCACCACTGGAAGACCTTTGGGAATGGAGCATCTTTGGTAAGACCCATTTCCTTTTACTTGACCGGGAGAGAGTCATCTATCTTATGAAGACATTTGCAAATAATAACTCAGGCCTTACTACCATCTGTTCAACTTTTTTACGCTTCTTTTCATACAAAGACTTTCCAGGCTCTTGCTCTTCTGGTCAGGTTTTACCTCCCTTGTGCTGGTAGTTTCCCTTTCTAGTGTGTTCTAGTATTGGTGTTACCAGATGACTTTTGCTGTATGAAGACTGAGGAGTATGGTGAATGATGACAGCCACTCATAGCATTGTCTGCACCAGAAGTGTCAGCTGTCTCAGTCCTACCTTTATGGTTGGGTCCATACTAAATGTAGTGTCAGGGTGGTCTGAGGCATCTCTGAAGGAAAATCTCATTTTGGAAAATTATTTGTTCTCACTGTTTGTTTACACTCACTGTGAAGTGCTCACCTGTTTGTGTGTGATAACAACAGGTCTAGATTTAAATGTCGTACCTTAATAAATCTAAAAATACTATTTTTCTGGCCTGTTTATAAATAGCAGTTAGAAGCTCCCCATGAAGAACTGTTGTCTGATGCTTTGCACAGCGTGGAAATAGAGTTGAGAAAACTTGCTGAGATTCCTTGGCTTTATTATGTTTTTCAACCAAATGATGATGAGGTGAGTTTGAATAATACTTCCTGTTTCTAATTGAACTTAATTTTCTTTTGATAGGGAAGAGTAAGTTAGAATCCCTCATGATCTGGACAGGCAATTTCAGCAGCGATGCTGGGTGATTTCTGTCTGCCGTGAACAAGCTTCTAAGCTTAGGGCTTTTTTTGTGTTTCGTTCCCTTTTGTGAATGTGACGGTTTTGAATGGTTATTTAATAAATGAAGAATGTGTTGAGTTAAATCCTGACATTCTTCTTTATGGAAGTAAAAGTTGGTCTTAGTTTTTGATATTAACTATGAATTACCATCTCAAGCATGTAATTTAACTGTTGTTTTCTGTTAATTAAAGGTAACTATGTCTTCTTTCGTGCAGGATCCCCCTCTGGATTACGCTAAAAGAAACAATAGAAGTACAGTGTTTCGCATAGTGCCAAAGTTTAAAAAAGAAAAAGTTCAGAAGCATAAGACCAGCCCTCAGCCTGGTATGTGTTTTGAAATTACAAGAGAAATAGTAGCATTTGGGGAAAATGTGATTTTATGGGTTTTTTTGGTAAAAGGCGACATGATGCACTCTACCTTAAAGTCAAAGTCAAAAGCAACTGAGCTAACTGGCATCTTCATTAGGATGAAGATTTGTTTCAGTGCATTTAGAAAGCATTCAGTAGGACCCCAAGGCTTCTAAGCGAACCAAAGAACTACTGTGAATATATTCAGATAGTTTTATCAAGGACCTGCGTCTTTGCTGGTGGTTACATTCGATTAACTCACATACAAGCCGTGGGTACACGTGATGTTTCCCTGTGAAGCTCCAATTCAGGTTTTTCAGGTTAGTTTCAGAAGGTGTGCAATAGATTTTATCACACTGGTTTAATTAACCAGTTATTCTTAAATTGCAGATGGGTTTTAAGTTCAGCGAGTGAGACAAATCAAACAAAAAGCCGTAATAGTCAATATTGATTTTTTAATTAGAAGAAGTCGAACAAACTCCACTCTCCTCTCTACCCACCCTTATCCGTGAACTTACTTCCTTAAGATTATGTCCAGGAGTTAGTCAGTGATCAGATGGTCCTAAAACTGTTTCTAAATCTTTATCTTTTTATTGGACAGTTGGTCATAATCTGCAAAACCTTGCAGTTGTTGATCAGACTTTAGATTTCAGATTAGACTTCAGATTTCACTTCATTGTAAAACCGATTAGCATTGAATGAAGTTGCAAAATTATAGCAATAAGTAGCGTAACTATTTTTTTTCCAATAAATGTGGTCTTATTAGGACTAATGTGGGCAACTAACCTTAGAGAACAATGTTTTACAGAGAGCTTCTTAATGGCCTATGTAACACAATAGCTTAAAGAATACTTGTTGCATTAATTAAGAATACTAGAATCTGTTAATTAAAACTGGACTTGCTTGCTGCCATTGCTCTATTTGAGGTATGGTTGATATTTTAATTTTACATGTTAATTAGTTTTTGAAGGCTTCTGCTCTCCCTGGATGACTACTAATAAATTAATGGTATAAAGCAGAACAATGTTAGACTTTGCGTCACTGATCCTAAGATGCTTTAATGTGAATTGGTTGGGACATGAGGTTTTAAAGGCTTTACTGAAGAAACCGGAGTAAAGCTGAAAGCATGGCTGCAAAGCAAAGAACCCCAACTTTGTTTAGATACTTTCTCATGTTAACTGCTAACCTGTAACCTGCATGTAAGAAGGAAATTGTCAGTTTTTGTGGAAGTTACACCTCTAACCTTTCCCTTTGCTAGCACGGCAATTCTACTCTGTTTTCCACTCTCTTTGGCCTAACCTTTGCTTGTGATGCATTTGAGCATGTAGAAATTAAGGGGGTTTTGCTCTTAACTTTGGTAGTTCAAAAATGGGGCACAGATGAAGTTGCTGCTTGGCTGGATCTGCTCAGTTTGGGAGAGTACAAAGAAATCTTCATCAGCCATGACATCCGAGGCTCTGAGCTTTTACATCTGGAAAGGCGAGATCTTAAGGTATTTCCTTTGTGCTACTTTTCTGCTATTGACCATTTTCTTTGACAAAACAACAACTTTTCTTCTTTCCCTGCACTTGTTATGTGCTTGTAGCTTGGCTTACACTGTGCAATTACGCAATAAACTAATACGCGCTGTCCTTTGGCCTGAATTTCTGCAGTGCTGACTTGTACTCGCAACCAAGAATATCTGTGTTATCCGAAATTTCCTTTTTCTGCACTTTATGTAGAATGATAGCATTATAGTTTATGTCAGAAGGCATAGGAAAAGCACGTTTGATATCTTACTGACATCAGTGTAATATAATGTTATCTTCAAGGGTTCACTGTTTCCATTAAACAGGGTCAGTATGGAGCAGCTGAAGGTGGTGATAATGATTTTGAATCTACCTGCTGCAAGGTCAGCAGCTAGGGGCAGCTGACCTGCTTCAGGTGATTCTTTGTATATATATTGGATATATAAGGTGTGAGAGAGATAAGCGGCTTAATAAATTGCAGCGTTGGGCTTCCGTGGTGTTTGTGTGTGTGAAAATAGACCTTTGCAATAGGTTTTCTCGTCCATGACCAACCTCTGCCTGATTTTACCTGTATACATTTAAAACAGAGGACTTTTGTTTGACTCCAAAATTGTAAAATTTTCTTCCTCTAAGGTCAGATTGATAAGTTTTGCAGAGAGAAACGTTACCTAGCTGTCTGAGGCTGTTATTTGAGCTTGCTGGTCTTTTTCAAGAATGACTTAAGTGCATCCATTATATGTAATAGAGGCTGTATCTTTGGGGATTCATTACATTACTTTTTCCGGGAACTCAGTAGTAATGAGTTCTTGATAATGTGTTTTGCCACTGCTTTTAGCACATAAGAGAGGAAATACGATATTGTATAAATCGCAAACATTTACATTTAGAGTGCAAGTCATTGCTCTAGCCACAGTGCAGTAGTCTCCAGATAGAGGCAATACTTTCATACAAATATGCCATTTTTTTTTTTTGAAGTTTCTTACATAGTATGAAATCCTGATGTTAGAAGGTAGTGCTTGCACTGCGTGACTGTTGCAGTAGAATGCGGCTGCGGAAGATAGCTGTGTTTGAGATGATCTGTTCAGCTGTTGTGTGTTTTACCCTTTGGTATTGGATCGCCTTTCCATGGAACTTAAAAACTCCTTTCTTTCAGGAGAGTTCCTGACATGGAGGGACAATTTCAGGACAGTCCCTCGCTGCAAAAGCAAAGCATAGAAATAGAAAACTGTCCGAGCAATCCACTACAGCGTTCCAGTGACGGATGTTGCATCTCCCTGTTCTGAATGGGCACCGAACAAATTTAAAACTTAACTGGGAAGCTCAGCATCACACAAGGCATAGCTTTGCCAAAATGTTGAGAAATCTTAAAAAAACCCCACCAAGATGTCAGATTTATTGGAATAAATTATAGTGGGTAAGATCAGTGTTAAAGTAGACATGGCTTCTTGCCATGCCTTGTTTCTGGTAGGTACCAATTTGACTTCATGCCCAGAAAACTGGCACTTCAACCAAGTAAATGTCTGCAGCAGGGTAATCATCAGCGCATTATCCCTGTTGCTAAGACTTGTGCTGATCCAGCATAAATAAAACCCCATCACAAAGGCCTGTGCCCTGAAATATCTAAAAGCTTCTCTTTCATACAGCCTACAGAGAGACAGACTTTTTCTGTCCCATCTATCTCATGCTGCCTGGAAGCACACAGGAGGTTTTAAATTTCTCAGCAGAGCTGGACGAGAAGTTGCTCTACGCAAGTTGCCACAGGTATATCCTGTGTTAGCAGAAGTCTTGCTCTAGAATCGCCCCGTCTGCTTATTTGCAGGTGCTGAGAGCTTCCAAAGCAGTGCTGTTCGTAAGGTAAGCCAGGCTTTTGGCCGAGCGTTGCTTGCACTCTCTGTGGCAACGCTGAATTTAAATAGCAGTGTTTAGCACTCGTCCTGTTCGTTACATACAGGGCACGGTCTCTGCAGGAAGGCAATTAAAGACGGCTCAGGGACCAGGCTGTTTTCTGCCCAGTGACCTGAATTGGTGTCAAGATGTGTAAGGTGGTACCTAGGAAATGAAGAACATGTCACAAGCTCCACTGCTCATTTTTCCTCCTTTTGGCTATCGAGGTGCGCAGATGAGTCTTCAGCGCTCTTGTGAGCTATAATCTGTCTACAGCCTCCCTCCTCCAGTGCAAGATTTTGTGCTTCCTGCCAAACTAAGTGGGCTTGCCATTGATTCACAAGCTCTTAAGTCATGTGCAATAGATTTACCTCTATAACCTCTCATGTCTACAGCAGGAAAAATTGTTGCTCATTTTAGTTGAATCCTCTGGGCCCACCTTTCTTCTGTGGTCAAAAGTAGAGATAAAAAGCAGTACGGAAAAGGATTTGATGAAACTCTCTTCCTTTGGATGCATCACTGAAATAGATCCATACATTGACTGAAGAACTGGATGCCTCTAATTATATTTCTGCGTAGCTTGTGGATCCCAGTCTCAGTTAACTCAGTGTGGCACCTGGCAAATGGAGAATGCCTCCAAGAAGAACCAGATACCTCTCTCCACCCAGCCCCTGCAGTAATACCCTTTCTCCAGCTTCAAATGCCTGATTTTATTTAGGGGAATCAGACTTTTATACCCATGTGATTTTCTTTCGCTTGAGGAAAGGCTGAGCAGTGAATTGTGAACTATGCTGTAGAAACTGTAGAAAGCAAGCTTGTTGTGACTTTTTTTTTTTTTTAACCTTATTTTACAAGCAAACTCATTGAAGACTAGACTCTGATTTTTTCTGGAATAAATGCTGGCATTCTTAGCATTGATAACCATGTTTCCATGCCCACAACTTAGTAATAATCAGAACTGCAGTTTAGGTAGGATGAGGATGATGTCTCCTTAGAGCTCCGTAGCAGTGTCGGTTTCCTTGGAGAAAGGGTTTCCATGCCTCATGTCAGCTTGATGAGCAGTGCCAGTGAAGCTGGAGTCTGTGCTGAGGACTGCGGCATTTCACCTCTGTGTTTCGCAGTAGCGTGTTTTGAAAAAGTTCTTGCATGGAAAATGTTTTCTAAGATTTGTTAGACTTCGGGCGTGCTAGATGGCTTTTGACACTGGGAATGCAAGTAGGATAGGTTTCTCATCTGGAAGATGTTAATATTAAGGAGTGTTTATATAAATTTTTTGGTAGTATTACATTGGTTGTATGTATGGCCAAAATCTGTGAGGCAAACCTGGAATATATGGATGCTTGGCTAAGCAGACAGGGGCCTAGTCACCATAATATAACACAGATGAAGAACTCCTAAAAGCTGTTGCAAGAATTTTCATCAGCTTTTTCTTGCCCAACCTTCCCTCCCTCCCCCCCCCGAATTTTTTGAGCCTTACCTGCTGAAGGCCTACAGATGGCAACTGTGGTTAGGGAGAGCAGAAGGAGAGGTGATCCTATAGTTTTAAGGCCATAGGTGGGGAAAAAGAAAGGCTATTTTCTTCCTCAGTCTCTGGCTAGAGTCTTGTATTCAAAACTATATTTTAGTCAAATTCAATTTTTGTTAATTAGATATCAATTAAATATAAACAGATTACATACAGCATGGTGAAACTCATGCATACCCAAAAATGTAGAGACCTTTGGGGATCTTGCTTTTTTTAATGATGCGTGATATGCTGCTGTAGCAGATCCTTTTAGTCTAAGAGGAGAGAATTTCTGCAAACTTTCCTGCATCAGTAGTAAACTGAGAATACTAGATATTATCTACTGTCAGGAATGTATAAATTTTAATTTCCTCCAAACCATTACATAAGCATAAAAATTCAGAGTTTATTGGTTGTGTGTTGGGTTTTTTTCATGGAAGTGTGGCAGAATTTATCAAAAGGGTCCCAAAACTTGTGATGAGGCTTTTGAGACTTGCTGTTCTGCTCTACATTACAGCAACCTCAACTGGAACAGAAATAAAACCGAAATTTCTTGCCTCTAAAACATAGTCGTTGTTGATGATACTTTGTAAAGGTTGGTGGAAAAAGTGGCTTGAGTTTTCTGGGAATTTCATAATATCATTCTTTCCTCTGATCTTTGAAGTCTGGCAGCATCTCCCTATGTTGCTTATCCAACAGAAGTTATACTTGTGAAAAATGTTCTGAAGAATTTGCAAGTTCTTAACCTTTAACATGTGTGGCTTCTCGTGGTTTGGAAAGTAGCCTTATGGGTTTTCTCTTACGTAGAATTTCCTCCACATAGCAACTAGGCTATTTCAGTAGTTTTCAATAGTGGTTTGTATTTTTGATTCATTGGGAAATTAAGTTTAGCGTAAAAAATAAAATATTCTCCAAATCTAAAATGATAAATATGACTGTCATTGTGGGACAAGTTTAACAACTACTACCTACATCAATTCTCTTAATTTAAAAATTAGTACTATGGGTTTTTTATAATTGAGACAAGCATTAGCAGAAACAAAATATAAATTGATGCGATGTGGAAAATCAGAAGGTTTTTCCAGAGTGGTTTATGAACAGCACTTGATTTGGGGACTTTGATTAACATATCTTGAACTCTTTAACGCTGACACCTTTGTGCCGAAGTGCTGTAAAGGATGGTCACGTATTTATAGGACTGGTAGTTTTCAACTGAAGAAACAACCAGGGTTTTTTTTTTCATCTCTAACATAACCAGAATTCAGTCGACTCTCTGAAAAATAATCCACCTGTTTAATGTGTTGTAGTACCTTTAAAATAAAATGGCTGATTCATGCGCATCTTACCACCCCTTTCTTCCTTTAGAGAAATGCAAAATGAATTACATGCTGACACTTCTAAGTAATGTGAAGTACAGATTTTCTGAGGTTTCTGTAGCTGTAGGAAGGTAGACACAGTCTTTGTGTAGAGTATGTACAGAATATTATATATGGTTTCATTTTTCATTCTGTATGAGAATAATTATTTCAAGATGCTTAATTACACTCCTTTCCTTTTAATGTTTTTGTAATGGAAAATCTTCCTACTAAAGTGAAAGGATTTCTATTTCAGAAAAAGAGATAGTGAAACTTTTCTAAGGCATTTTTTTTGTTTAATCACAATCTATTTACCTAAGGTTTATTCTACAAAAAACTAGTGTTTGACTCTGCCACTTGCTCAGTATCACTAACACCAGGATTTTGAAGAGTTTTTCAAAGCTGGGTTTTACAGATAAGGGAAGCAGATTTCCACCAAACCAAACTGAAAATTCATTAGTGCAGATGGGGGTCATTAGCACCGCTGGCCATCCCATTCTGCTCCTCTGACCGTTGGACCAGTCAAAATTGAAAAAGGCTGCCGCTAAAGCTGTTATTAATACTGGAAGAGGTTTGCTGCAAAAAAATTCTTGTCCGTTGTCACTCAAACGGAGATGGGTCCCAGAAACCAATATTAAAAACATTTCAGCTGATGTGATTGCGTCAGTGGTGGCTACAAGGAGATTTATGCTTGTGCTTTTTACGTTTTCCTTTGGGATGTGGCTGTCGTGTCTCTGAGAATTTTTCTTCCAGCTCTCTAATCAGGAAGATCCATGTTAGGAGACGTAGCCTTTTTGAAATGAAAAACAAATGGTTACCTTTTCTATTGCTCTCTAAAGGGAAGTTGTCCGACATGCCTGTAGCCATTACATCCACTTTTTCTTGAGAAACTGGGGATATGTGTGTTTGTTGATTAAAACAGACATCATAGGGCCTCAGATCAAGTGACATTGCTGGACAGAAGCTCTATTCCATCACATCCTACCAAGCATTTGTTTGCTGTATTAGAGAGGAGGAGGAGATTGTTCTTTTATTGCCAGGAATTGTGAAAGGTTTGTGTACTCAGAAGTCAAGTGAAAGATGTTTTGGACAGAGATTGCAGTGCCTTGGGTTGTCATTATTGCAGGTAAGTAATTTTCTGTCTGCAAGACAGAGGGATTCATTGTATGCTCTAAGCAAGTTTTTTGTTAGGCAACAATTGCTAGTGCCATAGAATCTTTTCTGGTTAATGTTGATTGCAGTGGGCCCATTTCTAGACATCTGTTGCATGGCTAGATCGTAATCAATGGTTTCTTTTTTCTGTTTTGTAAATAAACTTCCCTCTTTTTCTCTTTTTTCTTTTTTTTTTCTTTTTTTTTTTGGTAATTTCTGCAGGACCTGGGGATAACGAAAGTGGGTCATATGAAGCGAATTCTCCAGGGAATTAAAGAGCTCAGCAAGAACACCCCTTTGTCTGAAGTGTAATTATGGTGGTGCTTTCCCTAGAGAGAGAAAGGAAAGTTGGTGGAGAAGCAAAGCTGTGGCAGGCACGTAGCTGTCTCTGTAGTTTACTCCGTGGAAGAACAAGCACCGGTGTTTGTACAGGCTAGTATCTCTGAATTCTTGTATGGTGGAAGAGCTTCCTGCAAGAGTACAAAAGGATTTGTGCCAAAAAAAAAGGAAAAGGTGATATGTTCTGCGAAGATGTTTTCTTGGTGTGCAAACTTGGCCAGTTTGGAGAAGCGCATTTTGGTAAATCGATTGGTGAACTGCACTGAATGGAACACATAATCCCGAAACGATTGCTTTGCTTACATGCAGCTCAGTATGCCTCTCTTTATGCTGCAGCAAGATACCACTGTACAGCACGAGGTTGTCCAGTTATCCTTCCGAGGCATAGCTCCGTAAAACCTCCTGTGCGGAAGACTGAGAGGTTTTGGAGGTTCAACACATGAGCCTGGCAGTGCCGCAGGTACCCAGCACTCACTGGCCTCGCAGAAGGGGCGCGAGATACCTTGCGATACCATGAATGCAAACTATAATGCATGGTGTGCCTGCCTGAATCGTCTGTTGTTCTGTTGCATGACACATCTGATACTTTAAACACTTGAACAACTTTTATATCGGTTTGAATGAGATTTAATTTATTACTACTTGAGTGTCTTTTTTTTTTTTTTTTTTCAATTTCAGGCACTTTTCTATTCTTCAGTGTTGTGTTATGCCTAAAATGTGTTCTACAGCAAAGGATGTGTGGGTGTGGAAACTTCGCGTTTGTGCCATATTCAGCAGATTATATGCATTGTAGATGATTGACACACTGTACAGCTAGACTTTTAAATATACCATGTACAGAAGGTGTATCAGGTAACTAATGAGTATTTTTGAAAGACCGGTACCTCACAAAAATATCAATTGGCTTCCTGCATGGAAAATGATAAAGAATTTTCTTATGGTGCATTTTAATGTAGTTATTCAGTTACCTTAAAAGTCTGTAGCATATTTGAACTTTCAGGCACTAATAGTTTTATTTATTCTATTGTTCAAAAAGCAGGTGGAAAGATTAATGAAAATTTTTACAGGAAAGTTCATTTTATTTATCATACATATGAAGAGTTTTAAAATGTAGCAGCTGATTTGATTTTTGTGGGGTAAGCTTTTACTCATTACTAATTAACTATTAATTTAAAAAGGTCTCTGTATGCATTTCTTTACAAAGGCATCACTTTGCTTCTTGACAGCACTCCTACATTGCTAGATCATAAAAACTGAAAAAACAAACTCTAAGGTTTTACACTATGCATGCAAAGATGAATCACATGCAAGATAGTAATCCATGAGCATAAACAGGCTAAAAAGTACAAACCATCTTTGTTTAGAAATTGCATTAGACCAGAGTTCGTAAGGCTTTTACAGTTTACTTAAATGAAACATATCTTCATAATTGAATTTCCTGGTTAATTTTTCACAAAAATATTAATCTAGTAGAAAAATAATTTGCATATATCTACAAAAAAAATATTTAAGTGTTTGAGATGAGATGATATTGCACCACCTGCCAGAAAACTTGCACAGAATCACTGTTTCCTTGCTGTTCCTAACAACATGTCATTGCGGCACGAGGAACACTTGACTTTTACTTGATCGCGTAGCTTTGACTTTTCTTACAGATTAAAAAGTATCTTAATATCTATTTATGTTTTCCTCATAGGCAGCAGAGTAAGTTTTCATTTGTTTTGGGTTTTTTTTCCCAAGCTTATTTTCCCTGTTTCAAGGGGCCAATGTCAAGTACTGCATCCTGGTTTTGCCCTCCCTTTCTCATGAGTGTGGTGGGAGTTGTCCCTCGGGAAGCAGATGGGAGTTGTCCCTTGAAAAGTAAAATCTATTCCCCTTATTGCTGTATTGCAAAAAAAAAAAAAAAATTAATAATCAAAAGGAGCAAACCAGGCTTCGTTTATATCCAATTACAGTACTATGAGCTCTTGCTGCTGTAGGTTCAACAGGCACCACTGTGGGAGCTCTGTGGATGTAGTTGATCGTTCTGGTAAAGAAGCACAGTGAAAGGCTGTGTTCCATTAGGTTTTCCATAAAAAACAAACCAAAATCCCTTTGCCAAGGGACATGATTTTCATGTTGTTGGGTGAAAAGCATATGCAAACAATAGGAAGTTAGGCAAACAATGGGAAGATTATCTATTTTTTTTTTTTATTGTACTTGACATTCACCCCTTTAATGAAGTTCAGATGGCATCTGTCAAATCTTTGCAAGTTTTATTTCCTTTTTTCTTTGTTTCTCCGTGAGCTACGCTATATTTTAATGTCTGGCAGCATTCTAATACATTGACGTTATGGTAGACTATGTAGTTAATCTTCCTGGACGATACAAGGACATAACACATGGAAGAACTTTCTTTGCTTTCCTGAGTGTAGGATACACTCTCTTTAAAACTTTCAGCCTTGCTATATGCAATGTGTTAAGATGGGCTATGGAACAGGATCTCTTCAAGTCACTGGAGAGGTCTACGCCGAGTATGTTAAAAATTGGGAGCTGCTTTTAGGCAGGGAAAATGGGCAAAGGTTGTTTGTAACGCAGCTTTCTTATGGCACTCCTCAAATTACCTCAGTATAGGACAAATGATCAATTGTTTTTGTATAGTTCGGGTTTTTTAAATGACCACCAAAGAATTTAACTTCGATTGTCCTAAGCAGCAGGTTTTTTTAAACGTGCAAGTAGAAAAAAAAATGGTAAGCATCATTTATGCTGTATTTATTAGATGCCCAGGAGAGCAAATTTTATGCAACTCTATGCCTTAGACTAGTGTTGGCTATCAAATGCATCTGACAAGGAGGCTCAAAATATTTTTTCTCTGCCGAGGACATGGGTTGTAACTGTGTTTAGTGATGTGGCTTTTCTAAAGAAAGACTTTAAACACAGTGTTGCTATCTCATGATTATTGTCATTTCCAAGTATTGGGTTTTTTTCCTTACTGCTGTAGAAGTCCCAGCTCCTAGAACTGAGGATATACATATCTACATTTTTAATGAACCAGATTCCTTATAATTTAATTCTGATGTTTAAAGTGCTTCAAAGCATACATCCCAGTATTTCAACAAAAATGAGGTAAACACATCCCCTAGAAGTAGTTAGTTTTTTGGAAAACAAGTTATCCCAGTAGATCTTGTGGAGCCTGATTCAACAGGCTGGATTATTCATCAAGACAAAAAATCACTCTACAGAGTTTACTGGATGATATTTTTTTTCCCCCTAGTCAAATACACTTCATTTCCGTGCTCAGTCAGCATACCTTAAAATCTGAAAGGAATACAGAGCAATCAGCATGTTTTTTGAAGTGGCTGGTATTCATATGGATGAAGTGCCCTACACCTCAGAAAGAGGCAGAGGAGAAATGTATGTTTTAAAATGGCAGCCAATTGCTAAGTACGTGGTTCTGGTTTGTCATTTTCCAATAGGATTTTTCCGGTTCGCTGGGTTCAATTGCTGTAGCAACCTCCGATTCTGGTCATGCAAGTATTGCCTTTATAATGCCTAATGCCTTCTTCTTAGAAACTGAATGAAACCAGGCAAAGTCGTGGTTGTAGTTGTTGGGGGTTTTTTACAATACTTGAAAGAAAAAGCTTGTTAAAAAATGACATTTTTTATACGATGGCATTTGCAAATTTTCCTTAGGATACATTTTTATATATTTCCCCTTAACCACTATTTTTTCTCCTGAACATCTCTTTCTTCCAAAGAAAAATATTTTAAAACTTGGAAGAACATTAAAACATAAAGCGTGTGATCAAAAACCCTCCCAAACTATTTCAATCCACTATTTCTTACTTTGGGACTGGAGTAAACATGCTTGGTCCTGTAAAGAATAAATAAAAAATAAATAGAAATCATCTTTCTCTCTCCATCCCTGCCCAAAGAAATTCATACTGCAGCGTTGTATAACTGTAATTCAAACAAGAGGAATTGGTTTTTTTTTTAATAAGGGTTCATTTCATATCTTCCTATGCTTTTTGTAGAGAAATAGATAACCTGCCAATTTTGACTTTATAATTGGACTCAGCGATGCTAATTCACTTAATGAAAATTTCATAATGCCTTGATAATGAACAGATCTTATTTCAAGGGTAAAATTATGAGTGTTTTTCAATGCATCTAGTCTTCCTTTTGGGTAGACTGGCAGGAGACCTTTTTCACATGTAATGGAAAATCAATATATAAAGCAAATATGAGAGGATGCTCCATAGTCCTACTTTTAAAAAAAGATGTAAAACTACATATTATACACAGATAATTCCACAATGGACATGTAAAACAAAAAAAAACCCACAGTGATTCCATTGTGTTTGATGCTTCCTATTAATGATTGAATTACTGATGTTTAGTACTGTTTCTCCATGGCTGTCTCTGTGCCCCTGGGTATTAAGTTCTTGTGTATAAGTTTAACAGCCCTGGTAACTAATAATTAGCAGTGCAGAAAGCCTTCATGAAAGGTAAAGTCACAAGTGATGTACATTGTTGAGGCTAACCGAGCTGGAGCAATATATTTAGCTTACAACCAGGGAGTCATCCTGACACTTGTGTGAGTGAGAGCCACAGTAAATTATAGGAGTAATTATAAATTTATCTTTTTCACCCCAATAACTTAAGTACCTCTCAGCTGCAGTGTCCCGAGTGTTACATTTCTACCATAGGCTCTCCCATTTTTTGGATTCTGTTTTCGTAGATTGTATGTTTTGTGGTATGATTTTTGTATCATCCAGGTTCGATGCTGCTTATTCTAACTGCGAAGATTTAATGTTTGCAGGAACTGTACATGACTATTGCTGTCTTAAGTAAAAGGAGGACTTTTTGATGCCTTGAGGAAGCTGAGGAGTTTGGACAGGACTTAAAATATATCTGCTGCCTCTTCAGAGATGAATGTTAGTGTCAGCAGGATTGATAAAGCATCATTCGGTAAATATCAATAGAAGATCTTA